ATAAATCGTCTGAGTTAAAGCTTGTAAACTGTTGAAAGATTACTGCTCAATTAAAAAGAATAAACCGCTCGAACACCCCGTCTAACAGTTGTAGTTTGCAAGAATTATACGTTAACAATACTATTATAATATAATAGATTTCAGGCTAATCATTGAAAAGAAGAGTCTTTAATAACTTAATTTAGAATAGTTATCTACAGTATTAGATTAGACCTTATTCAATTTCTAATAATGAACTATTGGACTTTAGACCTAATAGAGATATCTAATCTAATTCTAATTCAAATAGACTCTGATTATATAATTTTAGTCAAATTATAATTCTGGCTAAATTTATAATGCTAACCTAATTTAAAAATTTTGGATAATAATAAAATTGTTTAACTAAAATGATTTCTACTAAATGATCTGAATTTTTCAGGTTTAGAGAATTGAATTATTTAAAAAATTCTAATAAATATCAATACAATAATTTACATAAAAATTACTAATATAAATATAAATTTTTAGCTATTAGACAAAATCTATAGTCTAAAAGTTTAAATTTTAATAGAATTAAAATGGACTAAGTTTAGTAGTCTAATAGTCCAATAGTCTAAAGGTCTATTAATCCAAAAGGCTAATACTAGAAGCAATTGATATAAAATTATATAGAGAATTCATAAATATTTAAAATAAAAAATATATGTGATTAATTCTAATATTAATACAATAGTATTTAAAAATATTAATCAAGTTAAAAAAGATTCTAGAAATATAAAAACAAAAAAATAGAGTAAATTTTATAATACTTAAAGGTAAAATAATATTATAGAAGGAAAATAAAAATTCTATTTTTAGATATTATAGTTAATAATTAAGAAAAAATCTGAAAAGATAAAAAAATCTAAAAGAATATAAGAAAAAAGGTAAAAAAGCAGTAAATTTAAACTAATTTAGCATTTTGTGTCTTATTATAATAATTAAATAGAGTAGATAGGATTTTTAAAAGTGATAAAAAGTGCTTAAATTGTTAAGAAATTATATCATAAGAAGTTAAGATATTTTATCTTAAATATCAGTTAAATTATGTTACAATGCTAATCAAAATTAACTAAATTATATAGCAGATTACTATTTACTTAATTTGTCTAAAGCGAAGTGAAGGACAATTTATGTCTATGTATTATGAAAAATTTTTCAGTCACGTGATTATTATTGCATTTCTCTATTTATTCACGTGATCTTTAATTAATAAAATCTCTGATTTAGAAAGTATCAAAATTGTTTCAGATTCAACAACAGTTCCTATTTCCTAGTATATTTTTTGGCAATAAAAAAGATATAAAATAATATCAATAAATACCTAACTTCTTAACTATAATAAGAATATAGAACAATGTAAATATATAAGTAATAACTTAGCTGTAAAAAAACCAAAATATAAAAATAAAAAGGTACTAACTTGAAATATAAAAAGCTTACAGAATGCCAAAAAATAATAAATAGGTAACAGTATATTTATAAGTAAGTAATTTTATACTTGTAATGAGATAGCAATCTAATATAACTAGATTGTAATATATATATATATATATTACAACCTAGTAAAATTATTAATCCAAAATTTTTTTACACATAAATTTGAAATAATTTATTTGTATATAAAAGATTAATATTTTTTTATTTAAAAAATATATTTTTTTTATAATATATAAATTATTTTACATAAATAGTTAATTATATTAATTATATTTTAAATTTTTTGTTTTAAAAGTATAATATATATAGGAGATTAATTGTATTTAAAATAATTTTAATAATAAATAACATTAAAAAAATTTAACCATTTTACTTACTCATATATTATATGTAATAAATAATATAATTAGCAATAATATAATAATTACATATAAAAAATTTAAAATGTAAAAAAATAATATTAGTTTATATATATGCTACCAACTGTATTTATATTTTAACGAGTATAAAACTTTTTTTATTTACGATTTGTCATAATTCGATTTTCAAGATTTCGAATTTGTGCAACATAAACCAAACCGATTTCCAAATAAATCAATGATTTACGAATTGTCTACAATACTGAATTATGCACGGTTTTTTTGATTTCTATCAATTTTTTTTTCTTTGACAAAAGAAATATTCGTTTTCAACCAAGCAGGTAGAAGAATGGCAGAAACAACCACTCAGCCAACTACTCCAATAGAACAACATTCTAGTGAACAATTTCCCGAATCTCCGTCACAAAATAACAAATTTGGTCGACATCAAAAAGAACAAACTCCATTGCAACAATCCACCTCAAATCTTTCTCAACAAACGCAATATCAACAACAATTTCAGTCGCATATAGCGTCACAATTTTCTCCAGGACAAAATCCAATGTCACAATCGCAGCCACCTATCCCGGGTCAAGTACAACTGCAGCCACCACCTCCAGGGTTAACGACGCCACAACAATTACTAACACGTCCCCCAGAATTTATTGCGAATAAAATTGATGCGACACCACCACCTCAATTTCACGTAATTCAGGCCAATTCTAATTCGTCAACGATTACAAAAGTGGAAACTTCTACAATGCCTAAACCCGTAGTTGTGACTTCGACGACAACTCAAAATCCTATTCAAGTTAAAAAACCACCATTTTCCAAGAAATTATTACAACCAATTTATTTATTGCTTCGAGAATGTCTTAAAGAGGTAAGAAAAAATAATCTTTTTTATGAGATAGCTCAGGTCAAAGATATTATATATGTAAACTGAAAAATATCATCGTTGAATGGCTGTTATAGTATATCACTGGGCATCTAACGACAAAAACCGAAGAAGATACAAAAGAGATATTTAACGATCGCAAGAAAATGCATTCTGATTTTCAACTCTATTGTACCGAGCTTGTGCTAGAATCTGCAAGAGATAGAATTTTGAATGAATTAGAAGAAGTAAGAATCCTAATGCGATGTTTTCTAATAAAATTTATCTTTCTTTTTTTTTCTAAAGCATTCGTGTATTATATCAGAATGACAGAGAAAGCTTAAAGGACGTTAGCCCAGAGTCGGAAGTAAGTATAATTTTTATTATTTAATTTTAATTTGACTATTTCAACCAAATCCTTTATGTTTTTAGATTATAAAATCGAACTTTGGAGAAGGCCATGCGCTTTACAGAAGTTTCGTAGATGTTATAGAAGAACTTAAAACATTGCAAAATCCTGCCTTAGATGATGGTGAAGATAAATTAAATGGCGAAAATGAGTTTGATAACCCTTCTGAAGATACGAATCGTTAGCATCTTTTTTTATTTCTTGATAGTTTGTTTTATATATATAAAAATATTTGGTATTTATATTATATGTTTTTTCAGTACTCGGCCAAATTCTTCGTTTATGGGAACAAAATAATAAAAATTATTTCTTGGGAATACCTAACGTTAATCATGATCAACATCGAAATCGTGGCAGAGGTCATAATCGAGGATATTGGCCACAACGAGGTGGTCCAAGACATACACCTTATTCTAATCGAGGAGGACGTTCTCGTGATTGGGGAGCACGGGATGACAGAGAATTTAGGGAAAGGCGTCAGGATGATCATTATAGAGATCGTCGTGAAGATTATCCTCGAAGAGATTTTGATCGTAGACAGGAATTTCGTGGACCAATTGGCCCCACACCAAATTTTAGCCGGGAGAGACCCCCAATTGGACGACGAGATGATTCATATCATCGTAATTATGATGATAGGAGAAGAAATTCATATGAACGTAGACCAGATGAAAGGCATCCAAGAGACCAGCGTGTTCCACTTCAACATCCACATCCCATTGTACCACCTAAAGCCTCTCCTGCAATTTATGAAGCTCCTCCAATGCCCCCGATGCCTCCTAATGGGCCTAATCCACCGTTACCACCTCCTCCTCAACCCGCTTACGATTATTCGCAATATCCACATGATCCGCAATATCCACAAGGTAATAATACATCACTTATGGTTTTATCCTATTATTTCGCTTACTACTGTATTAACAGTTAATCTTCATATTAGGACCTGGTTATACATCCGAATACAACTCACAAAATTACTCAAATTATTACGGGCAATACCAAGAATCGCAAGTAAATGGGCATACAAATCCTCCGTATCAATATCCTTCGACTCCATCTTCAACTGGTTGGGATTCTCAATCTACTTCTATTCAATCCATTCCACCAATTCAGTTAACCTCTTTTAATTACAATCAACCTGGACGACATACTGCAATACCTCTACCGACGTGAGTCACTATTATCTAATTATTTACAATATTAGTTATTATTATGTTCTATTATCAATTATTTTTGTAATTAATAGAGATTTTATGTCTGGGCCGAGTAATGCTCCTCGATTATCAATGCCGGAACCACATGATGTGCTCGGAGTTATTAAAGGAGTGATTATACGAGATGCGCAGGGCAACATCGGATTGAGTCAGTATCAATTCAACACGATGTGAAGTAAGTACAAACTAGATAAAAAGAATATGAAAAAAATAAACGAATTAACTAATAGTAATTGAGTATTATTGTCAATCTTTTTTTTTTTTTATTTAACAATATATATATATATGTGTATGTATATGTATATATATATATATAAACGTATTTGTGAGCTTTTTTTTTTTCTTTTTTTTATTGTTTTACGGGAAAGGTTACCGGATGATGTTGATCAAGGGTGATTAATTTATTACTACAAAAAAGCACAATCAGGAGGAAATTTAGGATGTGTTTGTATTACATATTTTACAAAGTATTCCGAGAACTTTATATTAGAATATGTATATATGCATATATATACATGTATATATATGTGTGTGTATATATATGTATGTATGTAATGAACGACATTGAAGATTTGTAATATCTTTGCTGTTTGACGTTATTTGTTATAGAAATATTTCTATATTTTATTATTTTGCTATAATATTAGTTTGATATATAATAATTACCGGTTGAATGTTAGAATTATTATAATAATTTATCTCGTAGAGAATTGAAATTTTTTTTTTTTTTTTGTTAATTTTTCGAGAATTTTAATACAGTCCAAATATGGAATTCGTTATAATTCAAAATGATTGTGAAAGAGCAGACAATTTAATTTATTTTCTGATAAGCAACAAGAACAGATAGGAAATTATGGTAGATGCATCACAAACAAGCATCATTGTATTCACCAATACTTCTTTTCTTATAGGATAAGAAAGGCTACCGCGACGTTAAAATATTGTTGATCGTTCCCAAGGTAAGTCGCGTAAAATGTTTTGATATAATCGAATTACTTATGATGTTTTAGTATATATAAACCGATTTGCTGTCATGTCTCACGGTCACGTTATCAAATCAAAGTTTGCCGCAGTCGATTGATAATTATCACGTGATCACAATATAATAATAAAGTGAATTTCAAATGAAATACTGAATTTGGAAAAAGTTTCTTTTTAAAATCCAGTTTAAATTAAACTAAATCGGAAAAAAATAGTAGATAAGATTATTTTGATAACATAAATTAAGACTTGTCTCCTAAGATTATTGGTTACATTTACCATTTTTATACCTGTTCTTTTTGTCTTGCTATTTGTTCTTGATATGCTAATTTTGTAGCGCCATGCAATAAAATATTTTGCATGTAGTAATGTTCTAAACTCTTTTACTCGTGGATAATGTGATAATTATAAGTAAATAATGTTACAATGTGTGTGATCTGCTGATCAATGGAAATAAACAACCACACGAAAGAACGAAAAAACAGGCGATAGTTTCGAAAGTTAACAATTAAAAGATAAACCATTCATTATATAGTAGGAGAGATATTTATGGCTAGAATGTTATCTTTTAGAAATGTTTTTTTGACGGCGTTTGAATGGCGGTAAAAGTATTGCGCACAAAAGGAATGAGTTAACAAACATTTGAACGTGCCCGTGAAAATCACTTATTTTTAGTGTGTTAATATTACCTATTTTGTGATAATGAAAAACGATCAAAAAGCTCGGTCAGCCAAAAGTTAAATTTGGATATGGCAATGATTAAAGTATGACAAGTCTTACCCCCATTTCGTATATAAATTACATACAAAGCTCATTTTAACAAAGAATTTACTCGCATTTTTTTTTTTTTTCTTTACTTTCATACACCATATAGAAAAGCACCATTTCCGAACCTCTGATATCCCCCCACTTCCTAAACTTATTTATTATATTGAGAATTTTTTTTCTGTTGCAAATCCGCATTGTAAATTTACATTGTTAAAATGACTTCGACATCAGAAACTGCTCCACCGGTTCCTTCTATTAATTATAGAAATACCGCGTCTTGTAATTTGCCACCTCGGGTCAGTCTTAAAACGTCAACAACCCACCCCATCAAGTAAGATTCTTCGTAAAGACGTGTCATGTTATTTGTTAAACAGAAAATTTTATCTTTGTAATATACTCACTTTCTTAATTTACCCTTCATTTTTTTTTTTTTTTTTTTAAAGCATCAGTTGGATAGTACCGGAGGAACTAACTGACGGTCTCACTTTAGATCCACTATCACCGTCGATAGACCTTTTTGATGTATATACAACAGCATCTCTCTATCAACATTATTATGACCAAGTGCACGGTTATGGAGTTTCTCGCTCGACACATTGTACAATGCTTGGTAATCTAGCGTTAAGTTCATGTCCCGGTAAAAAAGTCAGACTAAGTGGACCCGTAAGAGGTCGAGCAACGATCGATCGTGATCTAGATTTAGATTTTCAAAGATTAAAGTCTTTAGATATATCAATGATCGTATGGTAAGTATAAGTTTTAAAAGAAGTCGACGTTAAATATTAAAGTATTTCAACATACATTAATCATTCGATTACGTCATCGTGCTATTTATACCATTTTTCTATTTTTTAATATTTATTTATTTTTGGAACATTAGTTGTCTTAATGATGACGAATTAGCATTTCTGGGTGCACCATGGTCGAAATATAACGAGTTGGCACTGAAACATAAACTTCAAGTTGTCAGGTATTATTATTAATCCATTAAAAATTCATGAATTATTGTCAGAAAATAAATCAATAAATAAACCAATATAAACTATTTAAGGATACCAATGATAGAAGGTGGCTGTCCAGATTCATTAGAACAGATCGATTCGGTTGTGACACAAATGGATCGACATATAAAGCAAGGTCATAAAATTTTGGCACATTGCCGTGGTGGTAAGGACCAATCAATAATATTATTATAATTGTTGGGGATTTATTAACTTTAATTTTCATCTTAATATTTATTTAGGAGTTGGACGTGCTGGTTTGGTGGCATGTTGTTGGTTACTTAAGAAACGATTTTGTCTTGACGCAGATCGTGCGATTCGATTAGTGAGAATGAGGCGTAGTCCCAAGGCTATTGAAACCATGCAGTATGTTCACGTTTTTTTTTTCCCCCTCCTTTCCTTGATGTTCAAGTTCTCTAAAATACCAATTTATCTTTTTGTAGACAAGTAGATTTTATTGTACAATTTGCTAATTATATTCACTGGGGATTACAACAACAACGTCATACACAACAGAAATATGAAACTTCGAATATTTCATACAAAACCAGCAATTCAGTAACAACGACAAATTTACAATGAGAGGAATTTTGTGATGTCAATATCACTGATCATTATGTGGTTTTTTTTATTGGACTGACCGAACGACATATCATTGATATTTATTTAATATAGCATATATGTTAAGGAAGTGGGATCCTATTGTTTTTCTTTTTTTACATTTTTTTATTGTTGGGAAATTTTGTTTTTTTAAATTCTTTTTTCCTTTTATTTTAATTAAATTTCCTGTAATTATATCATTTTTTTTTCCTTTCTGTATTTAATTATTTATGTTTAAAATATATATATGTACGTGTATATATATTTAAAGGAATGTATTACAGATCATGTATAATATTATAAAATATTTTTTATTTATACAGTTTGCAATCTCCCATAAATAATATGATATAAATATATTAATGTCTAATTTTTGAATGATTACTTATTATTTTTTGTAGGCTCTGGCAAAGCAGATCTTAATTCTTCTTTAACGTATTTTGGATTAGCGACAAGAATACATTTTGATACCTTACAAAGATGAATTGAGGAATCTTTAATAGCTTGATCAAAGAAAGTCAATCCCGTCGTACGTTCTAAAGCGTCAAGGGGAACATCGAAAGTTTGCAATGGTGTAGTATTTGATATACGATCATTCGGTAATAAAAAGGCGCCCAAAGCATGTAATTCACCATCAGGTTTACTCGAGTCATCCTTGGTTGCTAATATCACTTTAAAATAGTGTGTTGGAACAGCAATGTTTGGTGGATTACCTATAATTTCATATTTCACGTAAAATTTTTGATCTTTTTCATCTTTTTTTGGTAAATATGCTGGTCCAGTAAAAACGTAAACACTTTTAAATTCCTCTTTAGTTATCAACCTTCTACAAAATTCTTCAAAATGTGCCCAATCTAAAAGGAAATATATATATATATATATGAACATCAAGTTTTAAAAAATAAATCAATATAAAATGATCATAATTATACATACAATCCCTATTAAATCCATTACCAACTTGTGGAGCTATATTGGTTAAAAGAAAGGTTTCATCCAAGGTTTCTTGTGTAGTTTTAGCATCAGATGCGGGTGCCATATGACCACGATCATATCCTGATCTTACATAATCAAGCAATCTAGCACGAAATTTTTCTGGTATATCCTCATCTTCTTGAAATCGTGATTTGGAACGATCAACTCCTTCTCCTCGCATCAAGGATTCTTTTGTAATATGTTCCAACACCTTTTTAACAAAAAAATAAGTATTCAACTTTTTTTTTATTTCGAATTCTTTGTTTAAAATGAACTAACCCAACTAGGATGACGTAATTGTCGATTATATGAGGTATAATAAGCTTTTCTTTGTAAAAAATCAGAAATTGGTCCTACATGAATCCAAAAGGCATCGAATTAATTGCCCAGATCCTTCAAAAATAAAAATATTTAATCTCATCTGCACCCTTACCTTTATTTTGAAAACTCACCAGCATTAGGCATTTCTTTAGTTACTACAAGTTGTGGTTTCCAAGCTGGAGCCGGAGCTGGAGGTTTAAGTCGTAACTTTTCATACTGATAATAGCAAAATGCTCCTAGACATGCTCCACCAAAAACGAGAGAAACAGTGTCAAATGTTCTTCTTAACATATCAATAATTTTAAATAAAAACAATTTTTTTTTTATTATCCACTTATATTTTTAAAAGTAGCCATCACGTGTTAATTTATATAATTCTTAAAATGTACCCGGGTATATGATTTATCTATATAAATAAATTTTTTAAAACTAAGTATCACGTGATAAATAGAGTGCGGAACAAGGTTGCTTTTTTTTTTTCCAGATCATATGATTTACACTCGGATGTCCGAAGAAAAAAAAAAAGATGTAAACAATTCATGCGAGTCATTAAAGAAAAAAAAATAAATAAATAAAAAGGGTTTGATTCAATGAAAAAAATAATCCATTTTATCAATTATAATAAAGCAAAAAGGTTATGAATGAACCCTTTCATAGAGAGAATGAAATGAAATTATACCATCTTTTCTTTGTGAAGGTCCAAAGTAAATGAAGATGAATATCTTGTATTCCAAAAAAAAAAAAAAAAATAAATAAATAAAAAAAAAAGTAAAAACAATAGGCGGAGAAAAAAAAGGTGGGGCTAATTATTATTATGTTTGTTAATCAGGTCATGCTGGTTACACTTATTTTGAAAAGAAAACGGAAAAAATCAATAAAACAGATTTTTTTTATGCAGGGTTTCGCTTCGTCTTTTACAAAGTGAAGTTTGTAATAATTTATAATCTCATCCTTGTCATCAATTGTTCGTTTTCAACCATTTACAAATAACTTGCGAGAAATTTTACCACACGACATAATTGTATAATTAGCATAAGAAAATATGTTAAAGCCAATTAACAAAGAAGAAAACTAATTTATATTTCTTTATTACTTTGCAAAACACAAATTTCCAATGTAAAAACCTTTGTGAGGGAAGTTCATTCATTCGACAATTTGCTGTTTTGTAATATCGAAATGAAATTTGTTGTGTCACGTGACACCATGTCCGTCAAGAAATTTTTTGTTCAGGGCGTGGCCATAACAGAAGTCATCGTAGCTGTAGTATTATTAACAACAAAATGGTCCATGTTCAATATCATCTCTAACCCACCTTCGCTTGCGGGTGTCACTGAAGGTGACGTATTTGATTTTTTAGATGATTCGCTGACACGATTATATTTGCGCTTTTTCGGTGTTGGAGAATCATTTGGTGACATTGAATTCAAACTAGAGGTGGAAAATGAAGTATCAACTTCACTTTTCCGAGAATTTTGTTTCTTTGTAGGCAAGTTCTTTTTATTTTTATTCAAAGAACCTTTCGGTCGACCTCTATTGTTTCCAGAACCTTTTTTAACGTCGCGTTTATTTTCCGTGTTGATTTCTTCCGACAATTTTGATGATACTTCTTCTCCTTCAGCTTCGGAATTAGTACTTATTTTCTTCCCTAAAGGTGATTCTGTAGATAAACTTTTCTTTCTAATTGTTTGTTTTTGAGGTGTTTCTCCATTATTATCAGATTTTTCGTCACAACTAGTAGATTTTCTGCCAGATTTTATAGTAAAATTTGTTATCTTTGTTTGTTTGGTTTTTTTTTGTTTGGATTGCTTCCTTTCTTTTTTCTCGACTTTACTTTTTACTTCAATAGTAACTTCATCATTCTTCTCATCTTCTTTAAATGGACTACAATTATTACTTTTAATATATTCAATAATTGGATCCGATGTTTCAGCCCTGCCAGCACCATAAAAACCTGGATGAGTTCCCGGTCTGGTCAAAGCATAAAATTGAGGTCTTGGACGTAGTTCGCGTTCTAACTTGACCAAAAATCCTTGAGTTTCAGCTATAATAAATTCTTCTAAAGCATTTTCATCTTCAAAAGGGTAATCTATATCCATATCAACCGTTTTATCAATAAAGGTATTTGTTAAGGGAGGATTTACCAAGTCTGGAAAGTAGATAATATTATTTGTTTCGCGACTTGATAAAGTAGCTGAAACTTCAAAAGTGTTTTGCGTTGTTTCCATCTTTTTTTTTCTTTGGTGTCTTCTTTAGAGAGTAATTTTTTTAGGAAGTTTTGATCAAGAAAATTATGAAATTTGGGTAAGAGTGGGAATTTCATTCAACTTATAAACCACATTTTTTTGGGTGGCTTAGCACGTAATATGTGTAGCGCGACTTTTTAGAAAATTTTTTTAGCTCATGTGACCTTACTGCTTTTTGATAGAATGCATGATTCACTTTCCGTTTATTGGCTGAAGAATTCGAATTTATTGTTACGGAAAAAAAATTCACATACTGGCATACTTTTAATGTCTGATCCGACCCTAGCTAATAATAATAATAAAAAAATAAAAATAAAAATAAGGAACATTTCGAGAAAATTATACCGATTTTCAAAATTTTAATGATCTTTTTCCAGATGATTTTTGATTGAACCAGAACAGGTCTACTTGTTCCAGTTCCATTAGATAAAAGGTCGGCGAAACAAATTCAGCCAATCAAATAATTATCAAATGTCACATCTCGTGTAATCTTCCTTACCCGAATTCAGATATTTATTTGTCCGACAAGTGAAAAAAAAGTTTTTTTTTCCCTAATCCTGAAAATGTCACATGTTTATCAATTTTCCATTATTATTTTAGAAACAAAAAGGGAAAGAAAACAACAAATATAATAAATATCAACATGTATTACTAATCATCTTGGCAGGTCTCTCCTAATTCGGTTTAGTTATGCAATAAGTAATACGATCGGTGTATAAATAGAACATGGATCGGTTCATCCGATCAAAATTAGTGTCAGACTAACTGCGGAAGCAGTACTTTCGGAAAATTAAATCACTAATTATTTTCAAATTTATTTCGCTTTAATCTAAGCAAATAAAATTTTAATCCGGTATAAACTTTAATATAACTAAGTGATCCGATAATGATATTATCGAAAATTAGAAATTTCTTTTTCTTCTCGAAATCTTTTCTGAACCAATTTTACAACATCAGGAAGATAATGTTCTTCAGGATTTATAGTAAGCTTTTCATGATCATCGGCTTCCTTTTTGGTCATAACAACACAATTTTGTGGACTTAATGGTTGATCCTTATGCCATCTTGTAATTGCGGGTTTTTCGGTTGAACCTGAAATAGCACTTTTGCCTCTCCAAATTTCTTCAAAAATATATCCAACTTCATATACATCCAAAGGAATGGTGCTATAATAATTAATTTTGAATGAAATTAATCATTATTCAATGAAATTCTTTATGACAAAATAACCATTTTTTGACTCACTCTATATCAAAGATCCTTCGTTGTCTGTTTTGTAAATCACGGTGCAATCGTGCATATAATCCATCACGATTCTTATTGGATAATGGCTCAATATGATAACCAGCAATCTTGGTTACAATATATGTAGCAATTGACATACCAAAGATGGCGGGAATTGTACCTAGAATTAAAAATTAATTATTATACATCATGAATTAATTCGAATCGAATTGTCTTTTGATTTACCTAATACTGGGAGAATTCGAGTCCTGAAATCCGGTAAAGTCGCGTATTCTCCAGCATTTTGTATTTGGCTTTCATCTATATACACATATATATGTATATAAAAAAACTCGTTCAGTAAAGACCAAAAACTTTCACCATGATATGATTACAAGAAAGGAAATCAACCTAAAGGCAGTAATTTGACATTTGGTTTCTCGGTTGAATAAACAACGGTAATTCCTGATTTAACTCCCATTTTCTTTAATCGACGTCTAACGGTTCTAGCAAGCGGATCCTCTATAAAATATATAGATGTTATCATTATATTCATATAATTTCTGATTTTTTAAAAATAAGTTTTCACAACTGGTAACGTTACCGATAGTAATACTAATATCACTCATTTGAATGCGCGAAGGATCAGCTTTGGCTCCTGCTCCCATTGAACTTATAATCTAAAATTTATTTATTTATTCATAAATATTTTAACAGTTGTTGATTATAAAGGAAATGTTTATAAGAATTACCGGTAAGTTTTGATCATGGCAATATTTAAGTAAATATAATTTTGTGTCAATGTTATCAATAGCGTCAATAATAAAATCAGCATTACCGGATAACAAGTGATCAGCATGATCTTTTGTAAATAATTCAATTATAGGTTCAACTTTTGCCCAAGGAGCAATTTCTCTTAAGTGATTTTGTAAGGCGATTACTTTTGGTGTACCAACATCAGAATGTGTTGCTACCGCGTGTCTATTTAAACTACTTAATGTTACTTGATCAAAATCAATTACTCTAATATGAGAAACTCCAGATCGAATCAACATCAATGCAGCCCAAGAACCAACGCCCCCTGCTCCCACTATAATTACAAAAGATTTTCTTAATTTTTTCACACCTTCCTCCCCTAAAAAGGCGATATTTCTCGCTAATTGTTCTTTAATTAGTGATTCGTCAAATGCTATTTCACTTTTGGTGCCATTTAAACGTAAACTACGGGTTGTTCGAGGTATTGATCCAATTTCCCTTTTAAGAGCTTCAGCTCGTAATTTCTTTTTATAGTTTTGATAAGACAAGATCGCTATTCCTGTTGCAAGACTTGCTCCTAATGCAGTTATTGCAAACTGTAACTTAACATTGGTCATTTTTTTTTTAAAAAAAAAAAAAATTGAGAGATTATGATTTTATGTTACACCGTTCATCATTAATCTTTGGGAAGTTTGTGTAACCATAATTCAGTGATGGGCATTGGAAGCTTTCAAATGATTTTATTGGAATTGAAAGATTATTGAAATGGAAGAATTGAAAGCCCAAAAGTTGCTAATTTTCAATGCCTATTATTGAATTTAATATATTTATTTTTTAAAATGGTCTTCTATCAGATTTTATTTTTCTATAACAAATAACTTTATTATGAAAAAACAAAAAAAAGTATTATTATTGTATATTTTTATTTTTTAATATCATTTATGAATTTCACTTTAACATATTTTTATAATAATTGTTTTCATACAAATTTTAAAATATGTTAATTTTATTTTATTAATTTTGTTATAATAAGTTAGTAAATAATTTGATAACTTTAATTGATTACTTAAGGATAGATTTTATAAAATAAAATAAATAATTTTTTATAAAATATTTAATATATTTAAAAATAACAAACTTTTAATTTTGAAAATCTAAAATAAAAAAAAATATTTATTTTTTAAATAATGAAAATATTTATTTATATTATAATTTTCAATTATTAATTTTAAATAAATTTTATTTTAAATAATTATATTATTAAATATATACAAAATTTTTCATAAATATATAATATTTAAATATTTAAAATTTAATAATATATATAAGTTAGATTATTTAAAGAATAAAATTTTAAATTTAAAAAATACTTTATAAAAAATCTTAATATTTTAATTTTAAATTTAATATAAAAATTATAATATAACTAAAATTAATGATTAAAAAAATATTATTTATGAATTTTTTTAAAATTCATTTCATTTTAAATATTTTCTTTTAGATAATATATTTATTATACACTATTAAACTAGTTTTAATATTAATAGAAAATTATTGTATAATGCAAGAAGTCTATACTTAATAATATAAATATAATACTTAAAAATCTTTTAACTTTTTAAAAAAATAAAATTTAGAAAAAATAAACTAATAACTTTATTTTTTAAAATAAACTTTATTAAATTACTAGCTAGTTTTATAAAATAAGTTTTATATAAAAAATTATAGGTATTTAAAATTATATAAATTTCATATAATTGTCTTGAAATTTAAAACATACAGTCAATTCTTTCTAAATATACCCTCTCTAAATATTAAAGATAGCACTACAACTAGTTATAACTGATAATAAATAAGCATCACAGAGTCATAACTGATTGCAACATTAATAAAAATTGAGTTGCAACTAGTTGCAACTGGTAACAAATAAGCATTATATAGTTGCAGCATCATCTTTAACATACACTATATATTTTCTCTCTAAATGCATACTCTCGTTAAGTTTTAAACATATAGAATTTATATAAAAATTTTCTCTTTAAATACATATTCTCTTTAAATACATATTTTTAAAATGTTTCACTATAGTTCTGAAATGATGTATTTAGAAAAATTTGACTGTATATTATTGATTAAAATTTATAATAATTTAAGCTAACATTATGATAATTAATCATAATATCATTTTGAATTATTTTAATTTTAAAATAATATATAAAAAAATAATTAATATTTTATTTTCATTGTTTAATTACTAATTACTTAATATAAAATTCGCAAAATTTGAAAAATTATTAAATTAAGACTTCTGACACTATATATTAAATAAATATGATTTTATTTTAATTTTATATATTTTATTAAATTAATATAAATATCTAACTATTAATTAAAAATTTTATTATATATTTATTTATTATTTTTTGAAAAAAAAATTTTAAATTATAAATTTAACTAAAATTAAATTTTAATAATAATTATATATTTTAATTTTTTTTAATAAAATAATATATATAATTTATATATAATTAATATATAAATTATTAAAATATTACTATAAAAATAAAATTTATTATTATATAATTTATTATTATTTAATTATTTTTATTAAAAAATATATACAGTCAACTCTAAATATAGCGAACTCTTGATATAACGAATTTTTTAAACAAATATAATAAAAATACTCTTGTTATAGCGAATTGGCCAAT